TGTTTCTCGGTCCTTTTAGAGCATTGCTTCCTAATCAATTAGTCCAATCAATTTATTGTTTGTATAATAAAATACCAAAGCAAGTCCATTTGAATAAATAAAACTGTATAATACAGTTCTTCTTTTTAACCCCTTTTCAAATAAAAGTTTGTCATTTTATTCTTTTGGATAATGAGATAAAGATTGAATGTATCTTAGGGAGATGTAGGGAGTAGCGAGGGATTGGGGGTGGCTCAGCTTGGCTTGGAAGTAAGAAAGAGGGGCTCTTTGGAAAACAGATTGGGAACTCCTGTTTTAGAGGAGTTTTGGATCATTTTTCATCATAAAGTTGCTTCAGTTCATTGAGGTTTGCAGACATTTCTTTTTGCACAGATCTTTTAGGGTCCCAACACAGCCTTTCAGTCACATTGAGATCTGGACACAAAGCTGCCTTAGGTAACTTTTATAAAAATGTTTTTTTACATACTTGTGGAATATGAGACAGATAATCTGCGAAAAAATAAAGCTCCTCTGGCTCCTCCTAGTGGTCCTACTGCCATCTGTGTGTTTGTTCAAAATTTCAGACWAAGTCTGTTGTTTTCTCCAAACTCCCAGCTGCAGCTTTAATTGGACCATTGCTGCWCTGAAAATCTTTTATTTCTCAGCTATTCTGTAGTAGACCAGCTGCTGTGTTTGGGACCCAACACAGCAGTACAGTTTGATCCAGCCTTCACATTTGACTCTAAATTCATTTAGTTTATAGGAGATCATGATTGAGGTGTTCAAGGTGTCCAGGTCCTGGGTGGTGGACTATCAGAAGCGGGGAGTGGACATGGGGATGGATGTTTCTGTGTATGTGGCTGCAGAAGAGCAGGGAGCTTAGCATTTCCTTACAGACGGCTGCAAGCTCTGAGCTTTAATAAATTTAAATCAACGTTTTTGAAAAATTCCACTATTCGTCTGTACCTATGCAAAATGTTGTAAAATCAGTGTAATTACAAACAAAATGTACAACTTGCACAGCAGAACTGAACTTCATACAGCTTTTTGCTGTTCAGTGTAAACAAATAATCAATGAAGAGAAAAAGGCAGAATTTTCAAAAAATCTCTAAATATGTAGAACTTGAGGGAAAAAAATCCCTCAGAGAAACACACGTTTTAKTCTGTGTAACAACAGTGGGAGGCATGCTTAACCCAACATTTAAATTCCTCTAATTTGACTGTGTTGATGTGTATTTGTAGCGGTTGTCAGTCATCACATCAGTGAGTCAGAGACAGTCACAATATGCTGGCTGAAAGCAGGGGAGGAGCGCTGCTCCTTCAAACAGCCAAACAAGAAGCTTATGAGTCAYAGAGAAAATTCCCTCTTTCTCCTAAAGCAAACCACCAAGGTGCTGATATATAGTGAACAACATACACAATAAAATCAGTCACAAACTGCTCTAATAATTTTCTGCCCATGCAGAAATTCGACAAAAGCCTGATCTAAATGAACACATTTTGGATGCATGAGTCACATCTTCACCATGACAACCACAGATTTCTAATCTTTCTAAAGAGAAACACAGAAGAAAGATGGGTTGGGACATAAAAAAACAAACAAACAAGTACTTTGTTGAGAAATATACACCACTGACCGTGGGGATTAAAGTCATTGTGCATGGGAGAAAATCTGTGCAGTTTATGCAGGACATGCATGTTTTAAGGCAGGTGTRTACTTCAAGTTGCACACCTTGGTCATGCTGTTGTGTGATGAAAATTGCGTAGCTTCTGTTTGTTATACCCTGCGGGCACCTTGTCCTGTACATWGTTCCCAGTTAGAACTCTACCTATGTGGCATGCAGTGTGTGATTGGTTGGAGCTTCATGGACGTGTTTGTTTATATGGAACAGCACGTCAAAGGTTGGTTGTTAAATTAACAAGGTGGACAGCTTCAATTAATAATCCATAATTAACAAGAAAACAAAWGGAGTTGATATACTGAGTGAAAAAAACAACAACTGTTGTTAAGAAGCTATGTGTGCCCGCATGCTACACTGGGAGTTTTGAGGGGTTATGATGATTTATCCTCACTGTCTTCAGCCCAGCTATGAACACTCAGTCAGAAAAGTGGGGAAAGTCAGAAAAAACCATCCAAAATGACAAAACCACTGATCCACTGTCTCACGTCTTATTGAATGGGTGTCGCACGCATCATCTGTCAGAGGTTTGATTCGTTCATTATGATTTGAGTTTTCCATAAACTTTTCACAACAGAAAATTGGTTTTGCGTGTTCTAATAAATACAGCTGGATGAATAAGTTTGTTTGTACTGCATTTCATAAGGTGTGTCATGTAGCGCAGACAGCATGTTAGCAGTAGCCTCAGGAGCATGAACCAGATGTCCCCATGTTTAAAACTCGCGCAGTTTTATTTTTTGATAAACTTACTCATGTACACATACTGGATTTAAACTCCTGTCTTCAGCCTTGGCAATGGTTGTAATACTCCCCTACATGTGGACATTGGTTTGTGAAAAACACAATTTGCGCCCCAAAAAAATRACTGCAAAAAAACAACAACATGGCAGTATTTATGAGATAGAAGATTTTCAGCACACATGACAAAAAAATAGTTAACAYAAACCAAAGTATTTACTTTTAGTTATCAAAGAACCAATTAGTGTCAAGCCTGGGGGAGGAGGACCAGAAAGTCATGTCAAATGTCTGTCTTACCC